CCAATAAACATCTCTGATTAATTATATTTGTTTTCAACTAATGATTTTATGTTGCTACATGATTCCAGGTAAAATAGCTTCATAATTTAAATCAGTTAGAATTTATCTCAATTTTTTAGGATCTATATCCTGCCTTCATGTCTTAAATTGTCTTTCTGTTTAATTATTGCGTACAAATAAAATTCCGATTCATTAAGTGTGTGAAGTTTCTTTCGTTAACAAGAGTTACTCAGCGATTAAATTTGGTAAATCAGTAATAACTTTTAATGGAATTAAAATTCTAGTTATTCGTATCGAAAACATTCTAAAAATAAAAATCTCGGTTCTTCACATTCTAATGAATGCAAGGTATTTTCCAGATTTATAAACGATGAGAATTAAATATAAAAATTTCAGTTTAATTATAAGCCTGTCAAATGGACATTTAAGAAGGCGCCCTTAAAGTTGGCGAGGACGAAAGTATCCCTACTGCAGTGACGTCACGAACTGCGCGCCGTGGCCTTGAGTTAGTTCTAGGAGGTGTTGATTAAAGCCGGCAATAGGAACTTGTTAAGGTGGGGAAAATCAAAAGGGCACAAGGTGAAAGTAATAGAAAAAACGTAACTTTACAAAATAAAAAATCATGCTTATAGAAAATACAAAACACCAAGTACACACATAATTTATGCATCGAAAAATTGGAAAAATCAAAAGTTCAGATAAACCTTCAAGAAAACTATATTTACACTGTATATACAAAATTTAATTAACATACTAAAAGGCAATTCCACTAAGAATGCCTTCAAAAGTTGAGATTAGTACAAATAACTTTTCGACCGGGAACTAGAACCTGATGTAATTCTTATACAGGAAACACATTTGCAATCTGCGCTAAAAGTGCTTTACGCAAATTATTCTATTTACCTTACGAGTCGAGCAACCGGACGCGGAGGCGGAATTATAACTTTTGTTAAAAGGAGCATCCAAAACAAAAATTTTCTACCTCTTTTGAAAGCAATACTGTAGAAATTCAAATTGAGCACAAAAAATTCATTATCTCTAATATCTATATATCTTCTAATAATAGTCCAATCATTTCTGAAATTGAACAGCTACTGGATTTTAACTCTCCTGCTTTAATTGGAGGAGATTTTAACGCTAAGCATCAATGCTGGAACCAAGGAGCCAGCAATAGAAAAGGACGAGAAATTTTTTGCATGATTCAAAATAAAAGTTATACCATTCATGCCTCTGATGAACCTACGCATTACGGCTATAATAGTTCTTCTATTATTGACTTTTTTCTATCTAACAACCTCGACTATAATTGCCAGATTTCTGTTGTTCCAGCTCTCTCATCTGACCATAATCACATTCTTCTTGAAATCAGCATAAATAGTTACCTTCACTGGGCAAGAGTTTTGGCGTTACAAACTGGAAAAAGTTCTCAAAAATCACTTCAGATACCATTCCTGGAAATCCCAAAATTACCAATGAAGACGATATTGAGTCTGAAATCAAGAAGTTTACCACCTTTATTCAACATGCTATCAATTTTTCAACCAATAAATTTATCAATTCCCATTCTTTTCTTCCTCTTCCAGCCAGCATAAGACAAAATATTAAATGCAAAAATCGCATTAGGAAAAACTGCAAAATACAAGATACCCGAGGCTAAAAACTCAACTGAACGCTCTTCAATGTGAGGACATAAGTAACTTCAAGACGCAATGCTGGCGAAACTTCCTCAACTCTCTCGCAACTGAAGATAGTTCTCTTTTTGACATTGCAAAGAAATTTAAGAAACCCTTCAAGCAAATTCCGCCACTTCATGGTACCAACGGAATGATTTATTCAATGAAGATAAAGCTAACACCTTTACAGATGTACTAGAAGAAACGTTTACTCCCAATACTACCCCCTACGACAACAATCATATCTCCAAAGTTAATGATACTGTTAATACCTTCCAAAAAATCCCAGGTCCTTTGAACTTTACATTCCTTGCCATGCCTAAGCTGGTTGCCGATTATATTAGCTCCTTTAAACCCAGAAAAAGAAAAGCTCCTGGTGTTGATAGTATTTCTACAAAAGCGTTGAAATATCATCCTATAAATGCCATCATTTGTCTTACTAAGATAATCAACTCTATCATCAAATTTTCTTACTTTCCTAATATATGAAAACATGCCATCATTGTCGTCTTCCCAAAACCGCATCAAAATTCAACGTTTCCCCAGAACTACCGCCCGATCAGCCTTCTCAGTCAACTTTCTAAAATAGCTGAAAAAGTTATTCTTTGTCATCTTAATTAAATTATTCCACAAAGCTCCTACATTCCAGAAGAACAGTTTGGCTCCCGTCATCTTCACAGTACTAATCACCAGCTGCTTCGTGTCATCAACTATATTATTGAGGGTTTCAATTGTGAGTTCCTTACCGGAGCTATTTTCCTTGATATTGCGAAAGCTTTTGATAGGGTATCGCACCGGGGACTTATATACAAATTATAAACTTTTCCCGATCATTGTATTAGACTTATTGCTTCCTATCTCCAAGACAGAATCTTTGCAGTGAAAATTGGCAGTTCTGTTTCTTCCACGAGAAAAATTTTCGCTGGAGTGCCTAAAGTTTGTACTTTCTCCCTATTATCTGTACTTTCTTATTTATATCTGTACTTTCTTATTTATATCTGTACTTTCTTATTTATATCTGTACTTTCTCCCTATTTATATAACATTTACGATGTTCCTAAGGACCCACAAATTACCATTGCTCTTTTCGCTGATCATTTCGCTGATGACCCAAGCTTCTACTGTTACTGATGTCCAGCTCCTTCTTGAACATTACCTCAATCATCTAAAAAATTGGCTCACTCTTTGGAGGACTGCAGTTAATACCGAAAAATAAAAAGCAATATTTTCTTGCAAAGGCCAAACAAATTTCACTCCACCTAGACCTCTTCTGTTTGATTAAGAAATTGATTAGGTTGACGAAATTAAATATCTAGGAGTCATTCTTGATCAAAAATTGACTTTTCAGTATCCTCTCAGGGAAACTGTGAAAAAAATCAATATCACGCTTGCAACTATACGCCCACTTCTTGGCAGAAGAAGTCATATGTCCGTTTCTAATAAACTCCTCTTATATAAATCTATACTTCGACCAGCATTACTCTATGCTAGTCCTGTCTGGGGCCACGCTGTCAAAACTCACCTTCAACACATCCAAGTTCTTCAAACCAAAGCACTCATAGAGATCATCAACGCGCCATGGTTCATTCCAAATTCGTATATCTACCGTGATCTCAAAGTAGATACAATTAAAGATTATATTAAAAAACTTGCCAGAAATTTCTTATATTCAGTTCTCACTCATCCTAACAACTGCATCAACTCTCTTAGATGTTCTCTATTTCGAGAGAAAAGCGCAAATATCCATCTGACATTCTTCATCCTTAAAATTTTTTACTTATACTAGATTCTTCAGTTCACTGATTTGGACCTTCGACCAGACACTCACCTTTTTCGTCGACTGATGGCGGCCACATGACTTTTACTTTCGTCTTTTTGTTTTACTGATGTTCTTCACGTGATACTGAGTAAAAGGAGGCTCTGCTTTCTGAAACTCAAATTCACTATATATTCTTAGTTGCAGAATTTTGTTACAATGTTATTTTAAAACTCAAAAATGTCTCAAATATAGCTAAAAATAATTCACTGTACTATCAGCGGAATATTTTAGAACCAATTTTTGAATAAGAAATTGCAGCCTTGCAGGAAACAACATTGTGCGACATCGTTTGTAATATTGAAATGTCATCTATTAAGCTCTTCATGTTGCGGTTTTCTTTTTCTTCTTCAGTAAAAGGAAATTAAAAAAGATTAAAAAAGAATCGGGATTAAAAAAGAAGCATTAGAATTTGTTTTCAAAAAAAGAAATTCGTTATCATTTGTTTTACTTCTGTTCTCACTTTGAAAAATTGATTCGTAATACCTTTATTCTTAATCAGCAAACCAATAGACGTCAATATATATCAACTTTATGTGAATAGAGCTTCTAGTCACACGCCTAAGCCTACTGCCGCTTATTTAGCAAATGAAGGATAAGAAACACGAATAAAATATATCTAATTTAATGAAATGAATGTAAAATTACCTGACGCTACTCCCATGGACTTTCGCGCTTTCAGTTTTGGTTTGCTTTCGGGCATAGGAAAACAATGAATGGATTTTGAAAAGATTTTAACATTAGACATTTGGAATAAAAAGTACTTCGCTCGGTCTGAAAGAACAAGAACAAATTTTGCATGTATAAGGCGTTTTGTAAATCTTCAATGAAAAGGTTTTCAAAGTGTATATTAGGTTGGCACAAGAGTCTATGCAATTGAAGCCATAGCTGGATTAACCATTAAGAGAAATAACCATGTACAAAGAAAGGTAGCACCATAAAAATGTGCTCAAGAATTCAAGGAAAGACACCACAACAATTTCCTAATGCTTATTTTATTATGGAGTGTATTGTGGAGCTTAATCAAGACCGAGAGAGAAACATTGAAAAAAAAAAAAGTATAAAAAGATTTATGGTGGGCCCCCAGAGCTTTTCAAGTGCTTAGAGGCTCTAAAAGTCTCAATTCGATTCTGACTGGAGCAATCACAACATTTTAGAAGAGCCGGATGGAAGATTTTATTAGACATTGCTCTGCACCAGACCAAAATGCGCTGAATTACTTGCAGTGGCACACATTTTGTTTTAATTTTTGACCTACATTCGAATTTGCCGCTCAGTTAACACTGCACAGCCTCCAAATATTCGACACTGACATTCAAAGCTTTCCTTCATTGCTTTTAAATATATATCAACTGCTGCTCAATTAATACCTAATACGTATTTTAAAAATAATATTTTCATTTGAATTATACTAATATTTAAGCTTCATGCAGTAAGGCAACTTGCCCTGTTTTGAAGAGTAGTTTTTAAAACACTCACTAGGAGAAGACGAAAAACAAGAAACAGAAACAAAACAGAACAACATCGGCAACGCATCAGTCTAATCTGGTGGGTGTCGGAGAAGTGCGCGAGGTGTTACTAGAAAACTTTTGTAATATTAAATTAAATTTTGTTTTACGTACGTGTTAGAAGAAAGACTAGTTGCATGGAGTTTCAGTTTTAAAAGATGAACGAAATTCTTTGCTTCAGAAACTATATGTAATACATGCTTCTGATCCAAGAATTGAAACCATGCGTAGAAAAATATGAGCAATACTTTATATAAAATGGAATTAGTTGATGATTTAGCTGATAAAGAAAGGCACATGCAATGGACGTCACTTGCCATTAGCCACGTGGAATATCAAACTGGTAAGAAACTGTTATTGAGAATAAATTTTCGAGGAAGTGAACTTCATCTTGCACTTCTAACATGTTTTAAGTGTGTTGTCAGGTTTTTACATGCACGAAAAATTGGATGTATTTTCAAAAGCTAAAGTGTTTTTCAACTACTAATCATAAAATATATCACGTCAGCATAGTATAGTTTAAAACGTATTATCAACTTCGATTAATAATTTTAGACTTTTTTTTAGAAATTTATTTTTGGAGTTAAGAACTATCCTGCAGACTGGTAGATCAAAACTATCTCATTTTTTGAATGAAATAATGAAGAAAAAACTTTCCACATTAAATTAAAAAAAATAAAGAACTGAAAGTATACATAGTATCCCGCAGAAATATGCTTTTTGCCGCTTAGAAATTGCATGCTTTTAGTTTCCAAAAATAATACTAATTGCGGGGGGCTAAAATTATGAAATGTCGTTTTTAAAATAAAATTCTACTTTTAAGCAGTAAAGAATAAATTTATAATTAGAATTTCAAGTAGTATATTTTCCAAAAATTAAAGAATGAGTAGTGTATTCTGATTGCTGGAAAAGAGGGAAATATCCTGTCACAAGAGATACTAATAAGATTGGAAATAAAATCTTGTATGATAAGTAAAATACAGTAATTATGTAATAATAGCACATAATGTATGTAAAATTTTGGCATTATGATGTATTAAACCAATATTTAAAAAATCCTTTCCTAGAAGCATTTAATAAAATACAGTTATATGTATATTTTATTATCACCACTGCTTCAAAACAGCATATGCAGTTAGAAAGTCTTAACATTTTTTGACTAAGAAAAGTACACTTGCTGAATTTGTTAAATATTATAAGTTTTTAATATAAAATATAATTCAAAGCATGGACACACTTCAGGGTAAAATCCTAGTATACAGTGCAGCCTTGGCGCTATTTTGAAAATTATTGCCAACACCAAAAATGATCCAAAGAATGTCTATATACTGTACACTATGTGTGTATATACATAATATATACTATATATAACTATATATATTCTTTGAATGACCCGTTTACTACTCATTGTATATGTCTCATTTTTACTGCTCATCATAAAGTCGCCAAAAGTAGCCAAATCCCATGTACACCGGATACTAGGATTAAACCCAGAATGAAATTCTTGGGAGACCATCAAAACTTTCCTGTGGAAAGAATGCAGACTTGTCAGAAATAATTAAACAATTGAATCAATTTATTCTGAAACTCAGTTCATGTAAACAGTGAAAATTATATGGGGTATTTAACGTATTATCTCATCGACCATCCAAGTAGCACAATTTAGTGCCAGTTATGGAGGATAAATTTCCTTTAGAATTTCACAGTAATAACTGGCAATTGCCGAAATTTCCGCCAGCAGTCGGTAATACATAAGTATTTTACGTGGCATTGGCCTTTTTATTATAAAACTTTGATAAAAAATGCCAGCTTCATATCAGTGAATTTATTATTTCATTCTCAGCTGAATCGAACATACCTCTAAAATTACCAAAGAAAGATATATACATTCAGATACACAGCAACAAACCTTAAGTGTCTTTTATATTGGTACTTATCAGAAGAAAATTTTCTTTTTGAAAGCATGTGTTTTTTAAAACAATTTTTTCCCATATAAAATGCATAAGAAAGGAAAACTTCATACAAATATCTTGAATACATTATAATTGCAATTTTATTACCTAAAATGTTATGGGACAAGCCTAGTCTATCTAGTCCATTGATGGTACATCACTAATCAGTAATGATGTATGCAATCTGCCACTTTTTTATCTTTTTTTAAATGGCAGCACTGAAATTGGCTGTTATTTTAATAATTTCTTTTAGAACTGTTAGTACCATCCTGTAGGATTGATGAATTATACTGGAGGATTTTAACCCTCTGAGCGTTGAGTTTAGCCCTGAAATTTCAAAGTTCCTCAAAATGTCATGAATAAGTGGTATTTTCTTGATTTTGAATAAAAAGTGACTCTTTCAGTTTGTATGTTGATTCCTTTTCTCCCAATATACATCCAAACCGAAATCAGATACATTAAAAACTTGCAAAAATATTCATATGTAATGATATAAAAGGCAGCCTTCTATGCGGAATTTTCCGGCCGTAACACAGAGAGTTAAGATCCTACATAACATATGCACAACATTCCGCAAACAAATTGTGGCCGGTGTGTCTGGTACGTCTGTACAAGCATTTTTAGTAGCTCCGTCTGAGATAACTAAAAGTGGTAGATTGCAAGCTATATCATTACACACAAATCTCTAACCATACATTTTTGGCCACCTTTTATCAATTGCAGAAATTAACAATGTGATAAATCTAATGTTAGTCAAATTTTAAGATGTGCTGAATATTTCTGAATATAAAGCAATGTGTGTATAAGCTGAGTGCATTTTTTCTTTAAAAATTTAACCAAAGTTCAAAGTTAAAAAAAATAAAATCGTGTAATGTTCAAATGTGTCGTAATGAGGGCACAAATACTGTTGAGCAGGTAAAAGGGATGGAATATTATCTAATCCAGTCACTGTAAAGTAAAATGCTAATGACGATTTAAGTTTTTAACTTTGATAACCTTATTTGAAGCTAGGACATTTTTCTCATTCATTTGTTGTCTTATTTATATTCAGTTTGTAGTATCTGTGTTATTTTTCATTTTGTCCGAAGGATGAGCAAGAGAAGAATTTCTGGTTAATCTTCGGATTATGGTAACTTTGTGATTTTTTGGCGAAAATTTGGCGACCAACCCTGCTACAGCAACATGCTAGTTTTGTTTTGGATGCCATTTTGTTTTCACGAAGTAAAGGCATTTTTTTTTTTTTTTTAACTCAACATTTTTTTCCCACAATCTGCTAGCCGAATTACGCTTATGCTAGAACTTTTATGGAACAAAAGTGCTTAATCATGACGAAGATTAGGTGTGAAATTGGGAGAAAGTGCAGAATTGCCCACTGCTTGCTGCATTTTTAAGAATTGCACATACACGGTATCATCCATGTACACGTCGACCTATTTTCACTTAAAAAAACATTTCAGAATTGCACAAAAATGGCATTGTGCACACACTTGACTTTATCCATGTATACTGCTAAAATCCTAGCTAGTAACCTTTATCGCCTTACCAAAATGTCGCCAAACTACCTGTTACCATATTCCAAAGATTAGCCGAATTTCTTATATGACAAGTTTGAAACTACAGATGATCATGTTTGCTGTTAGTTCTAATAACAGTAAAAAAATGGCTTCATGGCATTTCTCTAAACTAAAAAAGGAAATTGAGAATGAAGAAAAAAATGTCTTTTGTTAGTAGAGATTTCAAAAAGGTAGTACATAGTTGTTTTCCATTAGCCAGACACAAATTTCACCAGATTGCGGTTTTTTATTTTACAGTCAAAAATCGTTAATCCGGACTCGTCGGGACTTCGGGCGATTCCGGATTATAGATCATCGTCTTAAATCTGGTAAGATGGCATAAAGAATTATAAAATTAAAAATATGAAACCGTAATTTATGAAATAAAGAACAATTATGATCTAAAGGGTATCAAAATTTACAAAAAAAAAAAAAAAAGCTTAATATTTATTTGATTATTTTATTAAACATTTCTTTCAATGTAAGTTGTTTAAGTTGCTTCGTTTTTTATGTGATAATACATTCTCTTTAATTCTATAAACAGACATAATTTCTTGTTCAGTTACAAAGTTCCGCTGTTCAAGTCCTATAATTGCTGTGTCGAGAATACCGATTAATTTGTCAATCAAAATTTTTTCGTTTTCAATAACCTCTGTTACTTCTTTGCTATCGGAAGCGAATTATAATGACGAGGAATTTGATTTTAATCATATCAAAGACGGAGTACATCAAGATGAAATACTACATTTAATAAGAAATTATAAGCCAAATAAAATAAAAACATCTGCCCTGAAGATAAGGATAGTGCTGACAGATCAACTTCCAATTCATTGGGTGCTGCGGTGTTAAAGATAAACAAAGTTTAGGTAAACAAAGGATATGCCTTTATCCATTTTTTTGCAGCAATTCCACTTTTTGTTTAATAGACTTCAAAGCATACTTTCGCTTTGTAGATCCTTTACATATTAGTAAATATATATCAGAAATTCTATTTGACATAATCGAAAGTTCAAGCTTACTTTTATAAAATTGCTGTAACAGTCTGAAAAAAATAATATGCCGAATCCAATTCGAAGATTAAGGAACAACGCAATCTGCAACGTTAACTGAATTAGATAATTTTAGCTTAGCTTATACCGTCCATTATACATTAAACGTGCATTCCTAAACGATTTTGCGCACACGCACAAGCATATTCGCAGCCGTTAATGTCTTAAGCGCATGCATCAACAGCGTCAATGACGCATGCGCAGAAAGTTTGTAGCTTTGATCCTGATTATATATCATTCCGGATTATGGGTGTCCAAATTAACGACTTTTGACTGTACATTCAAGGATTTGATGACACAACAAACCGGTAGTGTGAACAGTTTTGAAAATAAAACAGTTCATCTTCTCAAAATGAATAATTCATTCCATTTAAAATTAATTTTTTCTAAAAACTTAAGAAATCTAAACTGCTGGTATTCGGTAATTTATTGCTTGCGTCCGGCTAATGGAAAATTACCTATGTTTTTGGCGAGATAAGCAGATCTGTGTATAAGCTGAACCCCATAATTTAGCTTTATAAAAAGTTCCAAAAATTGAGGCTCATAAGCAGAAGTATATAGTACTGTTAAATTTAACTTCTGTATCTACAGTAAGATTGAAATTTTCTGAGATCAAGTGATGCCTTTGATCACTTTTGAAATAAACAGAAAACACTATATGTTAAGCATATATTTTTGCTGTTTATATAGGCAAATCCAAAAATTTTCAGCCTTTTATATAAATGTTGTTTGAGTATAAATTAGTCTTGCAGACATATAATATTAAATGAATAAATTTCATTTTGTTACAGAAATTGTGCATGTTTTCTTTGATTGTTTACTAAATGAAGCAATGTGTTAGTTTGTTTTGAAATGTTTCAAATTGAGCACTGCTCTACGAGTCATGTTTTTCAATGCATAAAGTTCTTCTAGATCTATTTGTATCATGTTTTTTAATATTTGCAGATGCTTGTCAATTTTGCTTCTTGTGTGTTAATCTCCAAAAAATAAAACAATGCTTGTGACTAATCTGTTTCCTGTTCTGCAGTGAAAGACTGGGTAAAATATGTTTTTACATGGGCTCGGAATCTGTAGATGATGCTCCTAAATGATCAACCATTTGATGCACTGATATCAGAAAACCTTGCAAAGTATTGAGTGACAGGAGATTAAAAGTCAAGGAGATTGCATATATTTAGCCATTATTATACCATTTTGCTCATTCTGCATGAACATTTTCTAATCTCGGCAAAATGTGTACCCCAACTTTTTTCAGCAATTCAAAAACAGCAATGTGGATTTATGGAGTTTTACTATCTACTCTTACAATCCAGATTTAGCATATTTGCCAGCGTATGAGACGCATTTTTTTCTTTGAAAATAGGTCTGAAAAATGAGGTGCGTCTTATGCTTTGATACTCAGTTTTGTATTACATTCATTTCCAGAAATTTCCGCTGTTCGATCATGCGATTTTTGGGTACTTTTCCGTTTCGCCGACGCAAATCTCGCCAAACAGACTTTGTTGGTGACAGCATACAGTATGCACATAAAAAATGTTAACAAATGTTAGTTCTAAGAATTTTTTATTTTGAAGCCATAAACATTTTAATATGGTTTAAAATTTTGTAAAAAGCCATTAAATTTGTAAAAGACATTAATTTAAGAATTTACTATGCTTTCATGGTTCAACATCCTGATTCGTTGGTTCGTATCATGTGACACAAAATGAAAAATCTAATTCTCTCAATAATTATCTACATTAATTTCAAGTTAAATCTTAATTTGGAATACAAGTTTAAATGCAGGAATTAATTTGTACAAATAGCTTACTCAGAAATTATGTAAAACCGCAGTGTTGTACTTCGCTAGTGCATTCTTAATAGAATTTATGAATTTGACCCTTGACTTTGCCTTTTCTGTATTTTCACCTTTGGGTGATGGTGTGATGCATCCCAATCGACTTAATTACTGCAAATGGCCCTAGGGCATAAAACTGAACTATTGGGTAAAAATTCTATGTAATTGTATGCCAGTATTGAAAGAAACAATCTGATAAGAAATGGCTGCGACTTGTTTTGAAAATGAAGTGTAAAAGGCTACCAGCGAAGATATTCTGTTTGGCATCAGTTATACCATTATTGGCAACTTTATCCTTTGTGCCGGAAAACAGAAAAGTACCGATTTTTGTTTTTTCTTGTTTCCTTGCGGAGTGTGTGAATATTACTGTTGCATAGAGCTTGGTGAATGTGCAATGCGCTATCATCGATGATCACAGGTGGGTTCGTTTAAACTTACCAATTTTTTTAACGACTTTTAAGTGTGTGAAATTTCTACTCTTCAGTAAATTTGTTGACAAGTTATGGCTCAAAACCTACGTCGGCATTGCTATAGCATAGCATACAATCTACGTGTGATTGCATATGCTAAAGACCATGGAAACAGGGCTGCAGAGAGGCACCTCCAAATGAGAAAATGGTAAGAACTTGGCGGAATTATAATGATCAGTAATAAAGTTTTATTCTTCAAAAATGTGTATAAAAAAGGAGGTGCATCTTTTATGCTGACAAATACGGTAGTTCAATATGGTAATTATCTGTTTTCCAAACTAATATTTGACCTTTATGAAAAGAGATTTAATAATGATAACATGAAAAGAGCAGTAATGAAATATTTTGAGGAAAAACCTTCAGATTATATTTCAAATTCTTCGAATTCAGTCTTCACATGCTGAAGCTTCTCAGCAAACATTTTGTACAAAAGGGCTCCCTTGAACTTGTTTTAATATAAGTTGAGAATTGTGCCAAGTTTTCAGTTTTTTAATGAAATTTCAATTTTTATTAATATATTTTCTTTGTGTGAGTCGAGGGCCATAAAAATTGAGTCGACTATTTTCTGGAGCATAAAGTTGCTTATTAAATGATGTGAAAAGTGTATAGAGGTACAAGGAGATCATATTAAAAATGAACTATTAAAGAACATGATTAAATTCTCTGTATTACTTTTAGAAGTTGAAAAAAATTTTCTTTTTGAGGTTCTTTAACCTTGGTATGAAAGCCAGTGTTAAGATGAGTGAATCTGAAATTTATTTTATCATTCGCATCAAAAGCATGAAATATCGGCATGAGGAAAATAGTAAATGACCTACATTATTGCTTTCTAAATCAGAATCATTCTCACGTGCTGTATGCTGGCATGAAAATAAAAATGACATTATCACATTGCTATTAGTAATACGAGCATTAAAAAAAAAAAAAAAAAAAAAAAAAAAAAAAAATCCATGTTTTTTTGAAGAAATCAACCCTTGGAAAAATATTTCTTTGAATTTTATGTGTAATTAAGAAATCTTGTCAAAATTCAAGTACCTTTCCTCATAAAACTTGTCTGTATTGAATATTAGCCCTCTTTCTACCTAGATTTCTTCTGTGGGGATCATATATTTTAATATTTGTATATGCTTTTGTGTTTTTTAAAGCAAGTTTTTAATTTTTCAGGTGATTGGCTTGGAAAATTTTTGGCACTTACAAGTTTGTGTCCTCTAGCACTAGTTATTGCATTTGTTACTCTCATATTATTTCGAAGAGATCTGCACACCGTGAGTTTTCTTTATTTCTCTGTATTATATATGTTACAAAATCTGTATGAATTATGCTTTTTTCATGTACAGTATTATAAAAATGTGTTTTTATGTTAATATATGGTTTATATTACTAATAAGTATGGAAATACTGATTTTTCATAAATGTATTATTTTATCATCAGGATGGTGCATATTCTATTAATGTAAAAAAGGCACTGTGTGACGTAGATCAGGCAAATTAAATTCAATATCTTGTGTGGACCAAGCAATTCCAGATTTTACCTGTGTTTCTTGCAAATTTTCAGCCATATATACTACAACAGTACCCGGTTCTGGTGGCGTCATTGAAAAAAAAAAAAAAAATTGTGCTATAAAAGATTAACTGTTAAATCAATGTGAATAGAAAATTGAAAATATGCCAGTTTACTGTATTTTGTATTATAAAAATATATTTATGGGTGCCCCTTGCCAAAAATTGGTGGTTTTTGGTAGTACATGGGCATCGAGTTTATACACGTCTTTGATTTGTTATAACCAAAATAACAAATTGAAGAATTGCACAAACTCGGTAATGTGCACATCGACTTAGTTTCACTTAAAAAAAAAAAAAAAAAAAAAAAAAAAAAAAATCAGAGAATTGCACAATCTAGGCCTTGACTTTGTCCTTGTACACATTAATCTATTTTCATTTAAAAAGTCAAAAAAGCACCCAATTCTATACCAGAGCCAAACAAAAAATATGTAATCTCAATAAACTAAGTTTTAAATCAAGCACTGAAATAACATAAAGGGAAATTCATCTTGTATCATTTAAGCACTACACAAAGGAAATATCCTCTTACCTTATTTAGAAATTTCAATGTCTTCAGTCCATGACACACGAAATTCCTTAACAGCATCCAAAAACTTTCCTTAAACCATGTTCCCTTTCTAATGGAATATTTTATGTGGTGAACATTTGAACCTTTCTGACAAACTGATTCCGATTGAACCGACAAACCCATCTGAACAATCTTTATGTTCGACCGTACACATTTCCTTTGTACAAAGAGGACATTTCTAATTCCGTTGAATTACATCCAACAAAGTTTAAACCATTTCCAAAAAAACTTCCACTCTAATGTTCTATACCACCAAACACCAACTATACCACCGGCAGCCATTTTACAATGCACAGTACACAATATACGACATACTTCCTAACTGGCATGCAACAAATATTTTCCCGTCATTCAAATTCATTGCAGTCACGTAACCAATCATGCCTTAATAGGGTTTCCATAAAATTAAACTACTCAGGTTACCATAAATGAAACAACAACTTGGCAGTAATCCAAGGGGCACCCTTAAATATACTTTAACCTTTGGTATATTTAGTGATGCAGCATTGTTTTGGAAATATCACAAAATTCCTCTGAAAATTTGCCATTGCTAATCGAATATGTCGGAATGTTTGCCATCGATAATCAAAAACTACATTTTCAACATTTCTTTCTTGATTATAGAATATTAGCAGGTAATTTTTTTATTGTTTATTTCTAGATAAATAGATTCATATACAGTACAAAGTCTGGAATCTAGAGTCATCAAAATTGGGATTTTTCCAGGTATTAGGTCATCAGTTTAAATCTAGTAAGATGACATGTAGAAATTATAAAATTAAAAATATGAAATAGTTGTTTATGGAATAAAGAAGCATTTATGACAGTAAAGGAATCAAAGTTTGCAAAAAAGCTCAATATTTATTTGTTTGCATTGTTAAACCTTTATTTCTTTCAATGCAAGTTATTTATGTTGCTTCATTTTTTTCGTGCTGATATATTCTCTTTAATTCTAAAGATAGGTATAATTTCTTGTTCAGGTTTAAAGGTCCTTAGTTAAAGTCCTGTAAATGCCATGTCGAGAATATGTACCAATTTATCAGTTGAAACTTTTTTTGTTCTCAACAAATTCTCTGCCACTTTCTTCACTATCGGCAGTAATATTGTCTGGATTTAGAACCATATATATTATAATGTCATGAGCAAGAAGAATAAAATTACGAGATTAAAAATAAAAACTCTTAAGAATTAAATTATCAGTGGGGTAAAATTAAATAAAATAGCACACAACTACAGTCAAAAGTCGTTAATTCGGACACCCATAATTCGGAATGATCTATAATCCGGACCTCAAAACTAAAAACTTTCTGCGCATGCGCCGCGTTGACACATGCGCATAGGCCGCGTTGACACATGCGCATAGGCCGCGTTGACACATGCGCATAGGCGTTTACGCGTGTGCGTAAGACCTTTTACGACTGCGCATATGAGTGTGCGCAAGTGCAGAATACGTTTTCGCGTGCGCGTTTTATGTATAATGGGCGTATAAGCTAAAATTATCTAATTATCTATTTCAGTTAATGTTGATAATTGTGTTGTTCCTTAATTTTCGAATTGGATCCGGCTTATTATTTTTTGCAGACTGTAAGAGCAATTTTATAAAAGTAAGCTTAAACTTTCGATTATATCAAATAGAATTTCCAATATATATTTGTTAATATGTTAAAGGATCTAAAGCGAAAGTATGTTTTGAAATCCGAAATCTGTTTATCAATTTCACGCTGCTCCGCGGGGGGGAATGCCGCGGCAGGCGCGTAATGAATTGGAAGTTGATCTGTCAGCACTATCCTTATCTTCAGCGCAGATGTTTTTATTTTATTTGGCTTATAATTCCTTACCAAATGTAGTATTTCATCTCGATATGCTCCGTCTTTGATAGGATTTAAAACAAGTTCTTCGTCATTATAATTCGCTTCCGATAGTGAAGAAAGTAACGGAGGTTATTGAAAACAAAAAAATTTCGATTGACAAATTAGTCAGTATTCTCAACACAGCAATTATAGGACTTGAACAGCGGAACTTTGTAACTAAACAAGAAATTGTCTGTTTAATAGAATTAAAGAGAAAGTATTATCACATGAAACAAAGTAACTTAAACAACTTACATTGAAAGAAATGTTTAATAAAGTAAACAAATAAATATTAAGCTTTTTCTTTTGTAAATTTTGATACCCTTTAGATCATAATTGTTCTTTATTTCATAAATTACAGCTTCATATTTTTAATTTTGTAATTTCTGCATGCCATCTTACCAGATTTAAACTGATGATCTATAATCCGGAATCGCCGAAGTCGCGACGAGTCCGAATTAGCGACTTTTGACTGTAACAGATTTTGCTATCTGTAAGTTAATTGATGATTATGGCATTGTCATCATAATGAAAAACTTCTGTTAAATCATTTCATTTGTTACCACTTCTCCACACTTCTTCAGAAATTCTGGTAAAAGTATATTTTAGGGTACCCCTTGGCGATTTTTGGCGGTACATGGATACTGAGTTTGTGCAGTTCTTTGACTTATTATTTTGATTTGCATAACGGTGATTTTTGCGCTAAAAATCACTGCTACACAAAGCCAAAATAACAAGACAAAGAATTGCACAAACTTGGTATCCATGTACTCGTTGACCTATTATCACTTGAAACAAAATCCCTGAATTGCACAAAAAATGGCATCGCACACTCCCTTGACTTTATCCATGTACACGTCAACCTATTTTTCCTTAAAAAAATCCAAGAATTGCAAAAACTTGCATTGCGCACTCCCTTCACTTTGTCCATGTACACATTGATATATTTTCACTTAAAAAGTCAAAGAAGCACCCAATTCTACAGTACAGGCAAATAAAAAATACATAATCTCAGTAAACTACATTTTAAACCAAACAATAAAATAACATAAAAAGGAAAAACATGTTATACATTTAAACACTAGAAAAAGCAAATATCCACTTACCCTATTTAGAGGTTCTTCGTCTTTAGTCTGTGGCACACAAAATTCCTTAACAGCATCCAAAAACTTCCAAAAATTATCTGAACTCGAATCCGTATATTGGCATTGCCATATCTGAACCTTTCTTCCTACAAACCCATTCAAATCCATCTAAACAGTTTTTACATTCGACTAGACGCATATCCTTATAAAACATACAGGACACTTATAATGGCTACTAAGTAAACCTTCATTTACCACACCAGTCAATTAACGCTCTTTTCCCCTTTTGTACCAAATAGCACAGAAACTTCAAATTAATCTTACTACATTCAGCCATTCTACCATCTAAACAATAAAACCAACACACCACGAAAATTCTTACAAACATCCCATAATTCAAAATTTCCCAGAATCATGCTCCCGATTACGTCACAATAGGGTTACCGTAACATTCAACTACTCAGGCTACCTTAAATGAAATAACAACTTCGCCATAATGCCATGGGTACCTTAAAGTCTACTCTAACCAAAATTCCAGTAATTGGCTTTTATTTAATTAAAATTTCATCTTTTGTTTGCTACCTCTGAAAACCTTAAAAATTTACAACTATCATCATAAAGCTTAACTAGTATTTGTTACACACTAATGGCAGTGTATAATGAGATTGGCAAGTAAACACGTGTTGCTAAATTTCCTCTTCCTTCTATCACATGCAGAGGAAGTAAAGCCAAAATTATGTTGGTTATTTAATATACTTCTGTCTGTTTCCCTCATATGCTTATCTGAGTGCGGAATAAATAAATTTCCACATATACTTTATACTTATCTGAACAACAAATCAGTGTTTAGTTATTCAAACAGCATAAAATGTAATATTTGGGCCTATGAATATCATTTACAAAATCTATTTTTTGCATGTGAAAAAAATGTATGTTAAATTTCTCCTCTTTAACACACTTAATATTTCGCAGTGCAGTGTGCTGAAGTGTGTGATAATCGCCATTGTATTAAAAAAATATTTAGATATTGCTGCGTGAATCATTTTTCAAGCTGTCGTGTTGATAGTATGGAGAAAGCAAAAAATAATAAACGATTCGTCAAATATATAAGTTATTTTGGTAAGTGTAAAATTGACGATTTTTCCATGTAGAATGTTTAATTTGAAATGTATGCCAAACTTTATATTCTCTGGCCAAGCAAAGAGGTGGCTATAGAGTTAAATTATTGTTCATACAGATTTATGTTAATAAATCCCTGTTTCTTCAATATGGAAGTATTTTGTTTAGTGCCGAAGTGAAATTAGGAATCAAGACTCTCCATGATAAAATATCAAATGCGCATGCATAAAGTATACAAAAATTTTTGTAATAAACAGAAAAAGGTTGCTGATGGTCCAGAGGTCTGGATTTTAGTTCATTGCAGATATTAGCTGTCTGGATTTGTACTGTATATACACTGTTTTGAAAAAAAAAAATCAAAGCACCAAGAAGGACTTTTGCAATCGTGATGAAATTTGGTATGCAAAAACATCTTAATCAAACATTCAAATGATCAAAGTTTCGAGGCAAATGAACAGGAATTACGATCATAGCGCACATTTCTAGTGCACAATTTGCAAAGTATAAAACCAGTAACAGAGGAGGAAATTTATTTATTTTTTTGCTGCCATTGTAATTCCGTAAAGAAGCAACTAAAGATACAATTACGACAATATCAAAGACCTTGCAAACAGCTAAACGACTTTGAACGTGATCGCATTGTAGGGTTGCGTGAAGCTGGGCAGTCATACCAAGCAATAAGCCGCCGCCTGCAGCATACAGACACTGATGTGCAAAAATGTTGGCAGCAACGGTTGCTACAAGGAAATTGCCGACGAAATGAAGGCTCTGGAAGGCCAAGGAGCACAAATGCGAGGCAAGATAGGATGATTGTTTGCCAGGCCCGAACCGCTCCAACGGTATCATTGTCGAATATGCAATGCACTACAGCCACATCTATACCTCCCATGGTACCGCTCACCATCTCACGGCACTTGTTTGAGGTGGGGTTATGCTCACAGAGGCCTTTAAGATATTTGCCTTTGACTCCACAACATCGATGAAGTCATCTGGAGTGGTGTCGCAGCCGATCATCATGGCTGCCATCAGACTGGCATCATATAGTGTTCGGTGAAGAATCCCGCTTCACTTTTGGAAGAGATGACCACCGTGTTCGTGTCTGGAGAGGATGGAGCCGGCAGTCTCAATCCCTTTATTTTACAAAGGCATACAGCCATAACCCCTGGTGTGATGGTGTGGGGTGCTATTTTTTATGGCAGCAGGTCATCTTTAGTCATCCTCCGTACATCTTAACAGCTCAACGATATGTTGAATACCATCCTTGGCCAGTTGCATTACCCTTCATGGCACGTCATCCTGGGGCCATTTTCCAACAAGATAATGCCAGGCCACATATCGCTCGCATATCTCATGGCAGAATGTGTCACAGGATGACATTAGGAACCTCTACCACTCCTTGCCTCGGCAAATTCAAGAATGCATTGTCACTAGGGGTGGTTCGACCAACTACTAATTTGAACACTCATTGGGTGATTGTGAGCCGGGAACAAGTACTATGACTTTGATTTTTTAATTATTTTATTATTTGTATATGAGCTATACACATGTTCAATTTCATCAAAAACAACCACTTCCTTCATGGTGCTTCGAGTTGTTTAGCAAATGCGTGTATATGTTTTTGAAAGAAATTGAGATATCAGGTATGTAAGCCCTTTCTTGCAAGTTATGATACACAATATGTGTATAATTTAACAAACAAGAAGTACAAAAGCTTGCAGATTAGAGACTAATTTAACAAAGGGCTCACGCTAGTCCCCTATAACGTACCATTGCATGTTTTTTTCAGTTACCTATCACCTTTGACAATGATTGCTTCAAATTGTAGTGATGAAAATTTAGAATCATTTCCAAATCTGCTTTCCCTTTTTGGATAGTTATTGCCTGCAGAAAGATGCATATAATATTTATGTATATTAATAGCAGTGTAATAATTCAGTTTGGTACTTTTATATTATCGCAACCACCTTGACACAGTTTGGCAAATTTTATGAGAAAAGATAATAATTTTATTGTAAAAATTTACATATAAGATACATACATATTCTGCAATTTAACTATATATTTGTTCCAAAAGACAGTTGGTAAACCTAGTTACAAATGGGTTTTTGTTGTGGTAGAAACTTTGTAGTGATGCCTTTGAGAAAAAATTCAAAGCACTGTTGCTTTAGCAATTTTGTGGCAAAATAATGTATTCCTGCAGAAATTTTACCTCTTTCTTAGGAAAATCTTACAAGTGCAAATTTTAAAATTGTGTTTGAGATAAAAAGTAATCAAAATTTTTCTATAAAAGCCATTGGAATTGAAAATAAACAAAAAGAACATGTATGAAAATGGTTACATTGGAAACTGAATATTTGTCATATGCATGTTTGCTTGAATAATTGTTATGCATGTGGTTACCTGAGTTTGGTGTATTCTGATGCTTTGGTAATTTCTACAAAGGTTGTTGCGATAACCCACGAGTACCTTCAATTTATAAATCATTATAAGTTAATTATAATATGGTTAGTTATAAATAGCTTCTAAAATACAAGTTAAAAATTAATTATGAAACAAAAGAGTATAGTATTCTTTAGTAATAGCATTTTGCTGCTCACTGAATATCTAATTGTCGGATGTTTTAGCTGAAGTAACAAAAATGTAAATGCATAAAAACTGGGATTTATCTGTAAGGGTATAATTGATTTCATATTAACATATTTTATTTTAGATAACATTTTTATGTGGAACTGCTCTGAATGAAGCAATTAATTGGATACTAAAGCATCTAATTAAAGAATTACGTCCTTGTCGTGGTAAGTTGGTGACTGTCAACTTTTTCTATATATCAAAAATTTTAATTTGTTCAATTAAAATGACTTTAATGGATTATTACAGATTATATCTAATAATGAAACATAGATTTTGATTGAAGCTTTTTGTTGTGATTTTATTATTAAGCAATTATAACACTTTGGGAAATGTAATGTTTTATTTTTGGATGTAAGAAAATAGTTTAAACATTATGAAATGTAACTATTAGTTTAAGATATAAATTTGTTTTAGGTCGAGAAATATTGTATTCTGAATATGGTATGCCATCGAATCATGCACAGTTTATGTGGTTTTTTGCTACTTACATGGCATTTTTTTTGTTAATAAGGTAAGTTTAATGTTTTAATTTTCTTTTGTGGAGAAAACACTCCAAAATTTAAGGGTTATTCTGTTAATATTCAGCAGTAACTCTTAAATAATTGTTAATATTATAAATATTTAAGATTTAACTTTTGCCTAATCTGGCATTACCAGAATGTAAAGTACCTTAATATGATTTTCCTTTAATATAATAATGTTTCAATTTTTTTAGATTGCATCATGGTAATAGTACATACCCACTAGAAAATGCATGGAAATACATTGTAACTGTATTTATTATTTGTGTTGCTGCTATTGTTTCATATAGTAGGTAAGAAGTTTTAATTTTTTTTAAGTATCTTATAAATAAAATTATGTTGATAATATTTTCTTCACCATTAACAGTATATAAAGATTCATGTCTAATTTTTTGCATGTCTTACTTTTACTTCTTCTCATGTCTAATATGTTTTTAATCGTGAAAGATTAACAATTTCACAATATGTATAGTATATTTTTTTTGAGGGCAAATTTTAGGTACTTTCTGATTATTCACATCCTTCTGAAAGAGTGACAACGCATTGGAAAAACATATTAGGCTGTCTTTATTGCTCTTAGGTACTCTTTTGCTCATAAATAGTAATAAACAAAAGCATTTTTTTTAAATAAGAAATTTTATTAGAAAATAAAGAAAAAACTGTATTGCCAATATTTACATTTTAGCCATGTATTCCTTTTCCCAGTGATAAATAATGTTGAAAAGAAATCATATCTTAGTCGTTATTATGTGTGTATTAAAAAAGACTGCAGTTTTACTAAATTGAGCAAGCTAATGTATGAAAGGTATCAGCCATTCTGAAAATGGCGGCACATTAAGAATTCCATTTCCACATGAATCAATAAAAATTAAATAGGCAAGAAACTGTAATAAAACACTTAACTTTTTCAAGAAATTTACCTGGGGTGTTGCATAAATACATTTTGGCGAAAGTTCGTTGCCTCATGAATATTTTTTAGAGGGTTGTGGATAGTTAAACTACCAAAATAATAAATAAATAAAAGCATATATTTGCAATATATATTTTTAACCTTGAGAACATTTTTAAGTTGAATGAATTTTAATAATCTTTTTCCTCCCTATTTGAAATATCTTTACTTTATATAATACCATTTTTATTATCATTGTTTACAGAAGTACTTTAATTTTTATAAATTTAACTCTATAATTTTTCTTTTACACTGTATATCATTAATTGCTTCCATAGTCCTTGTACAATTTTTGGTTTTCAGTATATAATTTAAAAATCTAATTTTAAAATCTTGAAGTTTTTCTGCAGGGATGAAAACATTACATAATAGCTTACTGTTATTCAGGATTGTATACATAATATTAGCATAGCAATATCTGTTGAAATGTAAGGTAAAGCATGTTGCATGTCATGGCTAGCAAAGTTCTTGATGTCTACATTCTTTAGTTTTGTTCAGCAAGTAATATTACATATACCTATTTATATATAAATTATGCAAATTCATCACATTAAGATTCTTTCAATATGTATTTACTAAGCTAAGTTAAATATTGTACACATTAAGTATCTCATATTTAAATTTTTGTGCATTGTCCTAATGGCATTACTAGTCTGCAGAGAATATGGGGAAAAAAATTGTCATAAATCATACATTCACTTATGGAATAGTTGACTAGCAAATTTTTATATTAATTTTTTCTTCTGTATAATTCGAAGCTAATTTCAAGTAATTAAATTTTAATGCATAACTTAAATCAATATTTTAAAAATTTTATTTTCTATGAAATTTTTCTACTTAAATGATCTTAAATAAGCTGTTAATGTTTTTGCACAGCACGTATTTTCTACCATGTATGTATTTATTCATAAATATTTTATTTTTAGAATTTACCTCCAATACCATACATGGACCCAAGTGTTATGTGGTGCTTGCTTGGGTATATTCTTAGCATGTATATGGTTTGCCATCACACAATTCACTCTAACACCTTTGTTTCCCATTATTGCAGCATGGTAATTTTTTTTAATGATTCTGTGTTTGTGTGTACCTGTATGGATCTATTTTTTATATTTTAATTTTGTGGATATATTATTTGGCATCCAAATTTTAATTTCTTTTTAATTTGCATATCAGTTTAATAGTATAAATGCTGTAGAATAAAAATAAATTTTATTTTTTAATTCTGTTCTCTAATTTTTTTTTTGTAATGTTATTAAATGTTATCATACCCTATTGTGCATATTCTAATGTGAATGAAGTACCTGAAAACATATTTTTGTATCCTTAACTATGACTATCATAAGTTGTCCAGAGCAGCAGTTCTCAACCGGTGGTTCGCAAGAGAAAAAGAGAAAAATAGGTGGTGTGCAAAGGAACAAAGTATTTTTAATTGTTAAATTCAAAAATTAAATACTCCAACATCCCGGTAAAGTTTTTTCTCCAACACTCGTAAATTTATGTGAACTGAGCTTTGTTCAAGGACTTTAGAAAAATATTTTCACATTATTTTAGTCATAAATATAACAAAATTTGTCATAAATGTTTTTAAAAGGAGTAGTAGAAACGGATGTTGTATTTAATAGGAAATTAAAAAAAATATTAATAGTACAAAAATATAGAGGTATCTTATAAAAAGATAATAGTATCTCATTAATTCTTTTAGAGTTGATTGATTTATTAGAATGTCTACTGTTTGTCGCCACCATTTCCAGGCTCCGTTGCTCTGTTTTCAATTAGAAGCAAAAGCAGGTATTTTGTCTTCTTGTTGCTTTGCATTCCTTATTCTTCTACACGATTTGAGAATATCATCATTTGTTTTTAGAGAACCAGCAATATATATATACATTTAAATACTTGTAGAAAAAAAAAAAAAAAAAAAAAAGGTCAAATCTAGATTTTAAAAATGGAAAAATGGCTAGGATAGACAAAGCGGAAAAGTGGTCATTCACAGGTGATGGATCCAGGACAATGTACTAAAATATTGAAAAGAAAAAATGTTTATAGAAAGTTTAATGAAGTTATTTTATCATTTGCGTTTTCTTGGAATGGATGCGAAATGTGGACCCTCAACCTCAATGTGTTGTTTGCAGTTAACTGTCATTTTACAGTAGAAATATTTTTAAAATATATATTTTGCTATTTGCACAACCTTTTAGCTATTTGTATTAAAGATGCACACAAAAAAATATTAGATAAAAAATTGGTTACCATTTAATTATCTTTAAAAGTTTAATTTCAGTTAAAATACTTTAATACTAAAATTTAGTGCAAAATTTGGGCCTGTTTACAAGAGAGACATTTTTTTATGGCTGATTTACCTGGGGTGTTGCATAAATACATTTTGGCGAAAGTTCGTTGCCTCATGAATATTTTTTAGAGGGTTGTGGATAGTTAGAAACTACCAAAATAATAAATAAATAAAAGCATATATTTGCAATATATATTTTTAACCTTGAGAACATTTTTAATCAAATATCAAATATCAAAATATGAAACCATTGTTTCTTAAAAGACATCTTGAATCTAAGCATGCCAATTTAAAGGATAAATCAGCAGAGTTCAAAAATAGTAAACAATTAATGAAAGGTTTTGTTACTTCAAGTGAAAAAGCTTTGGAAGCTAGTTACCTAGAAAGCCCAAGAATTGCCAAGACTGGGCAGGCTCATACTATAGAAGGAAACCTTGCATTACCAGCAGCTAAAGATATCATTTAATCATTATTCAATGAAAAAGTGGCTGATGAACTTAAGAATATTCTGTTATCAAATGATACAGTAAGTCGACAAATTCATGAAATGGCAAATTCCATAAAAGAGACACTTATTCAAAAAATAAACACAGTATTTCGCATTTCATTTGGATGAAAACACTAATATAATGAACTTTGTTCAATTATTAGTTTACATATCTTTCGAAGAAGATAAACAAATTGCCAAAGAATATTTTGTGATCTCTTCATGATAGAGAAACTGCAAATTAAATTTTCAAACTAATTGACAATTTTTTTGTCTGAGAATGATACTCCTTAGAATAAGTTCATTGCTGTATACAGTGACGTAGCCTGGGCCTTTAACAAGAAAACATTCCAGTGTTATTTCTCAACAAATTTATTCACTGCCCCATTCATCATGAAGCTTTGGTAACCAAAACAATCCCTGGAAATCTGAAAATCGTTTTGAATTAAATTGTGAAAATTGTTCATTTTATTAAAAGCCAAGCTTCAAGAACATTTATGATTTTATGCCAAGAGATGGGTAGTGAACATGAAACGCTTTCGTTACATTCTGAAGTATTGTGGTTATCAAAGGCAAAATTTTAAATTGTCTTTTTGAACGTCGATCAGAAATTCAAATTTTCCTCTGTGATTAAATATTCCAGTTGCAAAAATGTTTATTCAGGGAGTTATGGTTAGTGCATTTATCATATTTAGCTCATATTTATGGAACATAAAATGAAATAAATTTAGGATTACAGGGATAAATTGTTAATTTGTTTACCATTAGATAATGAATGCAATTATATATATATATAAAACAACTCAAGTTTAAGAAAAAACTCAAGTTTAAACAACTCAAGTCAAAGAATTGGATAATAATATTTTAAGCTTTTCACCTTTTTTAAGTTTTCTGACAGAAAATAATTTGAAAGAAAAAGAAGAATTAGCATCCCACATTAAAAATCATTATTTTTCATTGATAAATAATTTCAACGTATACTTTCCCAAGGATAATGAAAAAGAAAATTGGATTAGAAATCCATTTTGTTCAAATATGCCTGAAATTTCATCTCGTGAAGAAATTTTCGTGTGATTGAACAGTGATTTCTAATTAAACTAAGATTGAGCTAAAAATTTCAAAAATAACACCCTTGCAAACTTTCGGCTCAACCAAAAAAAAAAAAAAAAAAAAGCATTTCAAATAAAGCTATTAAATTTTATATCCTTTTTGCACAACCTATTTGTGTGAACAAGGGTTATCTTTCATGTCGTATTTAAAAAATAAATACAGAACAAAATTAAAAGTGGATCCTAATTTATGGTTAAAACTAAGTGAAATAAGAGCAGCCATAAAGAAATTTCTCTCTTGTAAACAGGCCCAAATTTTGCATTAAATTTTATAATTAAAGTATTGTAACTTAAAGTATTTAACTGAAATAACTTTTAAAGAAATTAAATGGTAACCGATTTTTTAATCTAATATTTTTTTATGTGTACATATTTAATACAAATAGCTAAAAGGTTGTGCAAATAGCAAAAATATATATTTTAAAAATATTTCTACTGAAAAATAATCATTGTAAAATGTAGTGGTGGTACTAAAGTTTTTTTCATTTTTATTCAGATGGTACACATTGGTTAAAAGGTTGAGAACTGCTAGTCTAGAGTATCTAGATGAGTAGTATAATGAACATTTTAGTGATTTCTTGTATTTTTATTAAAGTTTTTGTAGAAATTTTTTACCTTATGAAATATATGCAGAGTTGCCAACTCTCCCGATTTAAGCGTGAGACTTCCGATTTTCGATCTCTCTCTCGCCAACTCGATTTACAGTATATTTCTCCCGACTTTTTCTTATTCTTAAAATTTATCACGATTTTTATGAAACTTGGCTTAATACTTCGTTATATGAAAAAAAAAAAAAAAAAAAAAAAGTGATTTTGGATGTCTGAAAGCAAATGAATTTTCTCTAGATTATATCTAAAACAAAACCTTGTGAATCAGATGAGAATTTCTGCTTTGTGAGTGAGAGCATACATATTCAGAAACATCATTCTCCAATGGGCATCGAGCTCCAATGCGTGTCATCTGACATATATTAGCCAATGAGCACAAAGCAAGCTCAAGGCCATTGCAAAGAAAATTATTTGGATGTTGGGCCGTTAATTCGATTTCATTCGTTATTTCATTCATCTTGTTCCGAGTTGTGTGAGTAAGCATGCCTTCGGGAAATATTTTTAGAAATTATCGTCTTTTGTTATGTCTGCGAGAAAGGTGAAATACTGCTGTACGTTTCAAAAATAGTACACATTTGACTTTCCTTCCATTATTTCCTCAAGGAAATGTAATAAATTTGTGATGTGTACCGTTTGTCATTGTGATTTCACATGGTGGAAGGGCGGATGTTCTCAATCCTTTGTACACAAAAACACAAGGACAACGCGAGTTGTTTTGAAAAAAACTAAAAATTAAATTTTCTTCGGAAACAAAGGACCAAAAAGTTATTAATGCAGAATGTCTGTTCTCTGCCTTTTTACTGGAGCACAACCTGCCATTGAATGCATAGGATCACAGTTTTATTTAGCTTTATTTAGAAAATATGCATGCAGCTGTATTTAGATAAATGTTTCCCAACCGTGAAATCGCTAAGAAATACTCAATTGCAACAGGTACAATTGTTAAAGAAATGGGTTTGAAAAATAAATCTTCAGTTATTGATTGCATTAAAACAGCTCTGTTCTGCGTATCTACGGATGGAAGCAATAATACTGATTCAAAACTGTATCCAATTGTTTCTTTTTTTAATCCAGAGTCTTCAGAAATTGAGTGCGTACTTTCTGTCCCCACTCTAGAAGGGCATTCAACATGCTTTAATATAGCACAGCTAATTATTAAAATTTTAAAAGAAAATGCAGTCCCTCTGGATAATTGCTTAGCACTTGGTGCTGATAATACACCAGTCATGGTAGGCTTGAAGACTGGTGTTGCAGGCATCTTAAGAAAGGAAAATTCAGATTTGCAGATTATGAGGTGCACCTGTGTCGCTTCTTAAATTTAGCAGCTGAAAAAGGGGCAGCTTCTTTTCCAATAATTGTGGATGAACACAGTGTTGATATTTATTATTATCTTGAAAGGAGTTCTAAAAGGAAGAAAAAATTGAAATAGTTCCAACAGCTGCATAATACTGAAATGAGAAAAATTTTGAAATATGTGTGTAATCGCTGGCTGTTTTTAAAGAAATGCTTATCTAGAATCCTCGATCAGTGGAACCTTCTTGCATTTTTTAAAGAAGAAGTA